TCTTATGTTCCTTCTGCAATTAGATGCCTCCTGTATCCAGATCGGATTCAATTCTTGAAATCAAAACACCTCTGCTTTGGTTGTTTGTCTTCCAATCACATGGCAAAAGAACGCCTGGAAAGGAAAACATGTACCATTGCTAACCGTACCAGGAAACATCCCAAAATTCTTCACACGAACACTGTGGGAAGAATTCAACCATCCGACATTCCTTCTGCAAGTACCTCGCCACAAGAGTCCACATGCATTCGTAACAGAATGGTTAATCTTGACCTTTCGAGAATAGGCATGGCTGTTGTTCTGGTCAAAGTTTGGTTGAAAGCTACAGGTCCCCCTGTGATTACCTATGCATTTTTGGACAGTGGTAGTTCCTCCACATTCTGCACAGAATCCTTGATGAGACAGCTAGGGGTCAGTGGTACACGAACTCAGATTTCCCTAACAACTTTGGAAAAGAAAGACAGCCTTATTGAAAGTTTCGTTGTGAAAGATCTTTTCATCTCTGATCTGGGTAAAAATGTCTTTATCGACTTGCCAGCACTTTATATGAGACTGAAAATACCCATTTCAAAGGAGGACATATCCACATAGGGTGACATTGACCAGTGGCCACACTTGTGTGGAGTATGCCTACCTGAGGTTGACGCCGAAATAGGTCTTCTCATAGCCTGGGATGTTCCCACTATCTTTGATTGTTTGGAAGTGAAGCAGTCAAAACGGTGGTCCTTATGCTTCCCGATCAAGTAGGGACGGACGGTTAATGGTCCTTTAGGGCGTTATCACAAGGGCCCACATGCAATAAGTTTCTTTTTAAAGGCTGATCCTGAATTTCATCAGATGGTGAAGGATTTTTACAACAGTGGCTTCAATGAATCCAGTGCTGATGACAAACCTGAAATGTCACAAGAAGAGCTTCGTTTCCTCTGCAAGTTGGAGCGTACTGTAGTATTGAGAGATGGTCACTATAAAATGGAGTTACCTTTGAAAGATCGCAAAGAACCAGTCCTAAACAGCAAACTGCCGGCAGAAAAACGCACTTTCTGGTGAAAGGAAAGTACAACATTACAAGGACTTGTACAGCGACTACAAGTGTTTCATGGCAGACATTATTGACAAGGGTTACACCCGCAAGGTTCCAGCAAATCTCCAGGAGTTCAGCATGGACACCCTTCCAGCTAAAACCTTGGTACAAGCAGATTAATTTAAGCAGATAACTTTTGGATGGGGCGTCAATCCTGGATATTACAAGTATGACAGCAAGTTTCCATTACATCATCTTTCAAATATAACTATCTTGGATATTAAATTTCCTAAAATGTGACAGTGATGAAACAAAAAGTACTGCTCTCTATGTTAGTGATATGGTACTAATATTTTGAAGAATCTGTACATACCTGAACCAATTTATTGACTTGTGATAAGAATAATAGAACACATGATATTTGATTTACCCTTATGTTCATTTGCACCGCAACTGAGCCAGATGTGTATTATTATTTTTTTTAACAGGGATGCATGTAGACAACAGGTCAACTCGTACCTTTGCCAAAAGTATAAAACATTGGAAGAAGCAGAAGAGGACCTCTGCATTAACTATTTCAGCAGAGGACTTCAAGGGTGCCCATCTGAAGGGTCCACAAATCCTGGAGATGTTACTCATACTCCAGAGTCCTTGCAGGGAAACAGAACCCTCTTGTCACCTGTATTGGCAATCAGGAATGTTTTGGAGTTTCAATTGCCAAAGTTATCAAATTATTGCCATCAATGCGCTCATGCATGAGATGAGACTTAATGCAGAATTTGTTTTGCCAGTACATGTATCTGGAGTTTAGCCACAATTTTGAGCCATTTATTCCTATAGATTTTTTGGAACTTTGTTGCAGAGGCATTAATGTACTCTACCAAAATGGTAAAGAAAATATCACACAGAAATAAATATAGTCTGAACATGAGGTGTTTTAAATTTATTTGGCCTTCTTAGCAGCCTTGAAAACCTTTTTGCTCCACTGTCCTGTTCTAGAAATATTTAATGTGAAGTAAAAGCCAACTTGCAAATAGTTAACTCTGAAGCAAATATGTGTAACATTAACTTTGATATTGCCATTGTCAATGAGGGGCTGTAGCTCACTTGTTAACTCCTTGGTAATGTAACCCACTTTGTTCCAGCCACTGCAAAGTTTATGAGGACAGTTATTGCATTCTGGTCGTAATCGTTGAAGTTTTGCTATTACCTCTTGCTTTTGTTCCAAACTCACATATGCTTTTTTCAGGTAGGTTTGTCTACCTTTATACGCTACTCTGAGCACTTTAAAAGGAACAGTATACACTGAATAATCATTGCTGTCCTTGTCACTTGAATTGTCATCCGCAACATCAATTATTAAACCATTACTGAGTTCTGGTGGTTCAGACTGTCTAAATTCCAAGAGAACCAAATAAGGGACACTTTCCGTTACCAAATCACACCATTTGGTGCAAATTTTTACATCGCCTGCTTTTACTCAGTCAGTATCTTCTGCCTTGATCAGGGCTGGTTTCATTGTCCTTGTGTTATTGACATGCAACTTCTCAAATTCGATTGTCAATACAGGAAGTGAAGGAATAGTCCAGTTAATGTTTAGATTGTCTATAGTTTCAACTGACAAGCACAGGTCTCTAGGCTGCCACAAAATCGCCTGAAAAAAAAGGATGGGAACAGCTTTAGAGTTTTAGTTTTAGTGTGGCATGGTCATACCATGTTCAGTTTGTAGTTACAAGTTGTTATGGAAAGTACAAAAATTTCATTCAGCCTATTAAATGTGTCAAAAGGAAATGCTTTGACAGAATGTCATGCCTCATGGTCATTATGTGTTTCTTGTCCTGTCCCCAAGATTTTAAGGGAAAACAAAAAATCTAATTCAACAACTCTTAAAATATAACTTGTACTTAATTGCTAGATTGTCACTTAAGCACACAGACAGGACACTACGACAATGCCTTGCAAATAGTTTCCTTTTTCTGCACATGTATACATAGGTTTGCTAAACCTTAAAGAAATGTGTAAAAAGGCATAGCTTTTTCTTTTAAATTAGAAAACAATAGCTTAAACATATTTTACCTAAGCAGGAAGTGGAAAATTATTTGCAATGGATGTCTTCATCTTGGGGTCAACATTACCCACAGCCAGGTTAACAGCATATTCTTTTGCCAGCAGGCTAATCATGTTTGATATTAAGGAAACTAATAGTACTAATATATAAAGTCATGCTGACTTGAACAATTACTAGTAAAAAAAAAAGACAAGAGTTTAATGTAATGTTATATGTTGAGTTTCTTTGGAGGGGGAGGGCAGGAGACTTGTAGACATAAATAAACATGAAATTCTCTCACACGACAATATGTTGGGTCCATTTTGAGTTCCCAAATTCCCTAATATGCAGAAGCTGACTTAATATGGTAATAAGCAGGGTTTGTTTTCGGTTATGAGAAAAAACAAGCAGCAAGAGGGAAGACCAGTTAGAGGGTATTAACCAGCAAGAGGGTATTAGGGTGCACTAATAAGGCTTCACCTGCTTTCATGCGAAAACTGGAGTTTTTGGAAGTATTCTTCTCACAGACATATACTAGGTATAATAACTATGTGGATATATCCCACAGGATGTTTGGGATTGTGAATCAGGAGTTTCTTCCCATGGTGATAATGGGATTGTTGTTGCATGAGCAGGATTTATCATTGTCTGGTGCAGAAAGATGGCCTTGGCTGTTTGAAATCCACTGGTGTATTCACCTGGGGCATATTTGTTGCTCTGCAGAACAGCCAAGAAATTATTTCCTTCTGTCACAAGCTTTTTTCCTAAGTGAATCCTGATTCCATGTACATTTGAAAGGTAGTCACAACCTGCAGCAATACACATGTTAAGAAAACTTTCCTGTCTCATTGACAAGTGGGCCAATGCCTTTTCAAGCTTGATTACTTGACATGCACCACTGAGCTGCAGCTTGAATAAAACCTGTGAACAAATGAGAAAAGAAGGGCAGGCAAATGACAAGTTGAATAAAATATAATTTTGAAATTATTTAATTCTAAGCTTTATTGGTGCACATAAACAACTTCTGAGGTTTTTTTAAAATGCTGCTTAGAGCTACTTCACGTGGAAATGACTAAATGTATGCATTTCAGTCTTTAATATAGAATGATTAAAAAAATATATGTATAATTCAGTTGGACCTAGTGTAATAAACAAAAAAGGGGGTGATGCCTTTTGACCCTTGGGGTGTACTGATGTCATGTATAGAGGGCATGATACTCTGGCAGTTGGAAAAACAACGTGACTTATTCTACATACTGTTTTGGCATCTGTATGCTAGAAGATCAGAATCTTTGGAAATCACAATATCGGTATAACCATTCTTTGTGAGGTATGCTATTTGGGCATCTGCCTCATATGGAGCAACCACGTAATCGATAGACCTCTGTCGGCAAGTCTAAGAAGAATAGTAAGATATACCATATTTTAAAGCACTGCAGTTGAAGGTCTAGACAATTATTTTAACGAGATTTTAAACGGTGACGTAAATAATAAAATCCGAACTCTTCGTACTGTAAAACTCACTTCAACGAACCTGCAGACATGATCATGGTTTATTTCTGCCACCCCAGCCAGTGGCTTTCTTGCTCCGGTTAAATCCTCAATGCGCCGTCACTGTTCAGCTCTTTTGATCTGTTTCTCTTGTTTCCTGATGAAAGATTTGTTTGCAGTCAATGGCTGTGAAATAAACTAGTCGAAGAAAAATAAAACTGACACGAGAGATGATGAAGATTTCTCACCTTGTCCAATGTTTGTGTTCCCTTTCCTTGCCTGGCAGTCAAAGTCCATCAGTGAAAGTCCATCAAACACTACTAATGGTCGAATTGATTTGTACTTAGGTAAATCCAGTAAGAACTACAGATCTCTTTCACTCTGGGAGAAAATGTATTATATAGAACTTATAATCTTAACCATAAGCTCAAGCTTAACAAATAACTACAGAAAACCCTCTGAGAAGCCGGAGATTTACATGGCTAAAATCCTGTAAAATCACACCTTTGATCATTGCTAAATCGCAATAAACTTAATGAAATTGCCTTGTGAAGCCAACAAGATGCATCTCTACAGCCACTGTGAGATCTTTGAAATGATCTAAACTACTCTCATCTGTAACACTTTTCAGAAAAGGAAGCAGCGTTTTGATTCCAATGTTTACTCTCACTGTAATGACTCCTGGGAGATGCGTACTCGACCGTGTCTGGATCGAAATGAGCTACGGTCACATTTTTACTCATGAACCTTTAGGGTCATGACGCACACCGCCTGAATAGCACTGCAGTATTATGTTACATGACGAACAAAACGAGGCAATACCACATGTAATGGCACCCGCATGCCTCGTTTTTATTTCATAGAATTTTATGCATTTCCCTTTTTACCGCATTTACATCACAATGATTTTCCGCTAGCTACCATGTGACTTTAGCTTAATATCATGAGCTCATGTAAAAAAACGATAAGGCTCACAGAAATTCGACGGGAACCACCAGTTATTGTTGTACAACTCAGAACCTACTAGAGCGGTCGCCCTAACACGTCCCACCATACAGAATCGCTGTAACAGTTGGCACAATAAACCTGAGCCTTGTGGAAGCTGCAAGTCTTTAGTCTTTTAGTTTCACGGATCTCTCCGCTATCAGAGTTGACGCCGCTACATCACACCTTTGTAGCTAATCGTGTCACACTTATTCGTAATGGCTCTGAACCCCATCTATGGAACCATGTAACTAGTGACATGAATCCCACTGATGACGCCTCTCGAGGATTGACAGCAGATGTCTTCCTTAGTCAAGGGTGTTGGTTAATGGGGCTGGAGAACCTTTGGAGGCCCGAACACATGGCCAATGCAGACAGAAGCAATTAACGATGTCCCCGAGGGAGATCCTGAGGTGAAGATGGAGGTTAAAGTGTGCATGTTGTCACTAGGCAAGCAAAGCTGTCCACTGCTGCAATATTTCAAGAAATGCTCTTCCTGGATCTATCTAAAGAAAGTTGTTGCCTGGCTCCTGTGCTACGGAGAAAGACTTCTGAAGGCAGGCAAGAAGAACGAGTTAAGCCGCGATGTTCCAAAATACATCACCCTTGAAGTGATCAAGAGAGCAGAGAGAGAAATTCTGAAGCACGTACAGAGAAGAGCCTTCCCTGAGGAGCTCAACCATCCCAAAACACCAGTTAAGAAGAGTAGTTGCCTGTACAAGCTCGATCCAATCGTCTGATGGGCTTTCACATGTTGGTGGTCGGCTGCGCAAAGCATCATTACTCATGGAATCAAAGCACCTGATTATTCTTCCAAAAGAAGATCACATTACCTGAGTGATCATCGGCAATTACCACAGGGCATGTGGCCATTCCAGTAGAGAGCATGTCCTAGCCTCAGTTAGGCAGAAATTCTGGATCAACCAAGGAAGTTCAACTGCAAGAAGTGTTCTAGAAAAGTGTGTCAGTTGCCGTTGTTGCCAGGCACTACTTTGCCAACAGAAGATGGCTGATTTACCAGAAAGTTGTGTGCTCGCTGAGAAGCCAACTTTTACATCAGTAGGCATGGATTACTTTGGCCCATTCCAAGTCCGTTGTGGGTGGAGCCTCTTAAAGAGATATGCTGTGATCTTCACGTCTGGCAATCCGTGCTATGCACCTCGAAATTGCACACAGCCTAAGCACACACTCATTCTTATTGGCTTTGCGATGTTTCATTGCAAGATGAGGCCAAGTGAAGGAAATCTACACAGATAACAGGTCAAACTTAACCAGTGGTGAGAAGGAGTTGTGTGATTCTATTTCAGATTGGAATCAGGAATGGATACATGATTCCCTGTTACAAAATAACATCAACTGGTTCTTCAGCCCTTCAAATGGTTCTCACTTTCGAGGCATTTGGGAGAGATGCTTCTGAACCATTAGGAAGATTCTACAAGCCCTGCTGTGAGAGCAAATTACTGATGACAAAAGTCTGGCCACATTAATGTGCGCAGTTGAGAGTATCATGAATTGCTGACCCATCACTACCGTGTCCAGTGATCCAAACAAGAATGAGCCCTTGATGCCCAACCAACTGTTGTTGCTCAAATTGGAAGTCACCTCACCACCTTAGAGCAGGTTTAGATCAGATAAAACGAGACATTAATTGAGTAGGAAATCTTAAGCTGCAATTAACAGGATACAAGATATTTACGCCAAAAATTAATAGGATAAGGGATACACAGCCCTTCCCCTCCTTCCCCCTAAGGACCTCACCAATGGTCTACTATTTAGGATAAAATAAAAGTATGCCAACTGCTATAAGCTTTTATTCTGGACTTTTAGTACTTATATCACAGTGGAATATGAGAGTTTGGTGCACGATTTTAGGGGTTTGAGGTTAGGTAATGCACCCCCTTGTTAGTTATTTCTAAGCCCACACTCGATACCCTCGTACCCAGAATAAATAGACAAAGATGGGGCTGGAGAAATAAACAGAGAATTAAAAGTCTTCCGAATTCTGTACCGTTTAAAACTAATTTCTTACACGACACCCTTTGTGCCTTTGAAAAGAGATCAATCAACTATTCTAAGCTCATTGACAGCCATTAGTTTTTCCGCAGAGTTTTAATTTACTACAAATAAAATGGGGATAGAATTCCAATAAAAAGCCTCTAACTTGTTTTTTTGTTCAGCATTATACTTGTCTTTTGCTGCCCGAAATGCCATCAAAAGCTGCAAAAGGCAGCAGACTGAAAAGCAGTGTGCAAGAAGTAATGGTAAGCAGCGTTTTATTCAAACTCCTTATATTTTCTTAGCCGTTCCACTTTTGCATCAGACAGGGTAATGCTGAGATAATTACTGAAGAAGCATCTACAGTACACTTCATGTTGATTTGTTCCTGAAAGAGAAAACCTATTTGACAAGGCCAAAATACGCTATAGCGACAATCATGGTATTCACCTGGCCCTAGCAAGTTCTACACTTCCAGCCCCTGCTAATGAAATAAAACCTAAAGGCTGGGCCCTAAAGTGACGAAAAGGGCCACTCATTTCAATGAAAAACAAAAGAAACTACCTTGAAGAAGAGTTTTTCTTAGGTCAGGAGATGGCCATAAAGTTGAAGCAGTTACTGTATCACTAAAAATGAGGACAGAATTAGGCGGTTCACCTTAGAGGAGTTCCTGAATTCTTGCCATGTTCAATCCTTCTTCACAAAAATGGCTGCAAAGCTCAGAAACAGACAGGGGGAGGTCCTCGAAGAAGACACAACAGCCTGCTGAGAATCAAGCTGCAGATATTCTTGGCAAGTGTAAATTAACTCATCCAATTGCTTATGACTCATTCAACTTGTGTGCCTTTAAATGCATCTATAACGGTTTTCAGTAAAAAGCAAGTGTCAACAGGTTTCTCTTGACATGCAAGTATTTTGATCTAGATGTTTGCAACATACAAAGATCGCATAAAGCCCCCTACACAGAGTTGAAGACTAGTCTTGTGCAAACATGCAGCTGTGCTCCATCACAGAACTGAACGTTAGTGACTGAGGTGTGTCTCAGGCTCATTAAAAAACAGTTTCTACTTAATATAAATGTGTTTCCACCAGATTAGGAAAACGTGGAAAACGTAGAAAAAGTAGATCTTAGCTAGGGTTATTAGAATCCACAAAGAAACCTGGGGGTAGCCATTAATTTTTCCAAGATAAAATTAGCCTTGAATCTTGAAGAAAACTGCTGACTTTAGCATTTTTCAGAAAATCAAAGGCTCCCTGAGCCAGCTCCTGGATGAATAGTTGACTTTTGCCTCTGTGGCAAAATGAGTCTTTCTGCAAAACTAGTCATATGAAAATGCATGTCACCTGTACGTTCATTCTCTTGGAAATCAAGTAATTTTCATTTGAAATGTTTTGCACGAGCATTTGTTCTAAAAAAGAGGCAAACAGCAACTTCGAAGTGGAAGTAAAGTCTGCATACGAGCCAAGTGGCCCATCAGGCCAGAGCTTATCCCGGTTTCTGCAGCATGAAGCGACTAGGAGTATTTCTATACCCCCTGGGTGGGATGCTAGTCCATCGCAGGGTTACCCTGCAATATTAAATTTGCTGGTACCTATTTATACACTTGAGTGGAAAGAGGCACTGTGAGAGTTGAGTGTCTAGCTCAAGAACACAATAAAATGTTCCCAGCCAGGGCTCAAGGCCAGACTGCTCGAAATAGAAAAGAAATACAAAAATCAAATAATAGGTTGTTTACACAAGCAGCTTATAAATTTTAAAATGAATAATTAGTTTTGATTGGAATTGGAACATTGTTATCGTATTAACTTGTACATAATGTAGTGTCAAAGAATAACAACAGTCTGTTTCAAAATGAAATAATTAAATGAGAGTTCACCATATTTACCAGTCAGCCCAAAATTGACAATATAATTATGTATATGAGACAGCAGTGCATTTTGGGTCAAGGTAAATTGGTTATGGTCCTTGTTCAGTCAATATTATGAAAAAGCTGTGTAACACTGATTACTATTATGCAAAAAATTACAATACATGATTTTGAAATTTATTTTAGACAATCAACTTGAGAATGCCAGGACTGGCAAGAGTATTTTGCCCAATTTCACTTAAGTGAGACATGGATATTGGCAAAATCTTGTTTACTCTAAGCTAAGTCAAACACAAACAACTTGATTGTAGCTTGCAGGTAAACAGGAAATCTATAGAAAAAAGTATTTCCTTAAATATTATAAGAATGATTTCAGACAGTTTTGTTTCAATCATGAACCTGAAGTGAAGGGAATGTTTTCATTTACAATTTATAAGGTTTTTTTTTCTATAGAACTATGTCTTTGGGAAGGAGGAAGGGAAGTAACAAAGTTTTATACAAGGAGGCTCTGGCCCAAGGTCAAAGACCTATCCATTTAACAGTGTTCTTAACAGGAAAGGCTTTCCTTTCACATACATGAAGCTTCTAACCTGAAACCCCTTTCACAAACCTAATGTGGCCCGCTAGATCTTATTTCTGGGATAAATAATCAACTGTTTGAAATGCCTGCCCTTTTAAGTCTTATGATACCTCTAGCCTGAAAATAGTGCACCTTTAGTCAACTGTAGGAAAAAGTCCCCAACTCGGTGCAATGCAAGGATACTACATATTGTAGTCCATGCAAGTAAAATAATAATTTTCTTTCATGGAGACAAAAATCATGGTATTTTATTCCTACATATCTTGGTAATTGTTTGTGCAAGTCTCACTAGCAATGCAGTAATATTCAAAAGGATTGCAGATATGTCTCTGCTGATAGATTTTTACAATGATTACAGAACATACCTATGTTGACAAGTATCAAGTATTCTCTTCTCCATAATTCAAGTTTTGATGTCACTTTGTTTAAATCTCTCATTTCTAGGAGCAAAAAAAACTCTCTATCACCAGCCACCACACGTCCGGCTTTTTGACAAAATTGGACAGCATATCTTTCTCGCAAAAAAAAAAAAGATCTACACAATCTCTTAGACTCAAATTGTTCATCTATCACCAAAATATTGTACTCTATATTTACTCAATCGTACATGTAGGTTGCCTTGCATATCATCCGTGATGAAATTTTCACTTTGGTCGAACTGCATGGAATAGAAAAGAAATGTAATGTGAACGACAACAAAACTAAAAGATAAGGCAATTCGAATTTTTTTCCCCTAAGTATTTAAAAACAAGCTTACAAATTTTGAGCTAATTGCAATACTAACACAGGCAGAATTTCAATGGGTGCGAACAAAATCAAACAGTAAAGAAACAATGAAACCAAAACCTAACAAGAATTTAAGCTTACCTTCGACTACACAACAAGAGAAAGCGAGTGGAAAGCATCAAATTCTCTTGCCAAGGAAAAAAGCTGATCACAATCTCACCTTCTGGCCTTTCTTCCCAGGTGTCTTGTATCAATTCTTTGACCTCGCTGACCATGCTGTTGTGAACGATACATGACCACAGTCATAAATACCTCTAACAGCTTCATCTAGGTGTGAGCAAAAGCCGATAGGCAAAAAACAACATATTTACGAAAGAAAATCACATGAAACCGAAATGGTCACCTCCAATCTTTGAGGTGTTTGATAAACTCATACCCAGGCTCTTAATTTATCGGGCAATAATGTACGCCTTTCTAGTCCCCCCTCATCAAAGAACTTCCCTGAAGACGACTGAGCACTCTTGGACAAAAGCAATACTTAGCAGGGGAAGTAGGAGAAAATTGTTTAATCCAGGTTTAATGAATAAATTAATTAGAATGGAAGGAGTGAGTGATCGAGCACCACCCGACTGCCTCCTAAGCTCATGGATGTTACATAACATCCATGAGCAAAAATGGGGAAGTTTGAGGCATTCCACAATGAAAAAATGAAGGTACTTGGGGGAATGCTAGAGGTTCCGAGGGGTCTCAAGGAACAGTGAACGACTGTATATGTTTGACTGTAGCTTGGATACTTGCTCAAATGTCATATTAATTGTACTCAGAATATTTATTGTCATGTTTGTTCCCAGCATGTTTTTTACATGAATGGCATTTTTCTCAGAAACGTAATCTATTTGAAATGATATAAATTTGATTTTATAGTAATACAAATTATATTTGCTTCAGAAGTTATGTATTTTGTTCCTCAATGCATACTGTAACTATATTTCAATCAGGCAATATTTATAGCAGTAAATAATTCTATTGTTTTATCAACATTTTGGCTTGTCTCTGCATCATGAAATACTTGAATAACATTTTTCAAACTGCTGCCATAAGTTCCAAAGGTGTCAAAAAGCCTGAAAAATGTTAGAATAAATAAAACGTTTTTAATGCAGGTGATTATTGTCCATGTTTATGTGCATTTCATGGACTAATACCC